GGTATAGTAGACTTACAGTAAAGTCTACTTATATGTAGACGTCTATTTCAGTCTACATTAATTGGTGTTTATCAAAAAAAATATTTTAAAATTAAAATTAACTAAGCGGGAAACAAAAATGAATTTTGGAGCCTATTTTTTCTTATTGGCGCCAATAGTTACACTAAAGTCTACTATAATTGGTGGTTACAAAAAAAAAATTATTTTAAAATTAAATTTATTTATTTATGAATTAAAATGTGAACTAAAATTTTATCAAAAAATATATATATACTAAGTCTACTAAATATATAATCAAAGGAAAATTTTTAGATTATATATTATAAACTATTTAAACAATAAAAAAAAATATTATAGTAGACTTCTTTGAAAGTCTACCTAACCTAAAGTTTTAACCAAAATAATTTTAACCAAACCAAAATTAAACCAAAAAGTTTTAACCTAACCAGAAAAATTACTTAACATATAAATACTATTTCTTACTAAAAAAAAGGGCAACAAAAAAAACAAGCTGCCGCCTCTCTCTCTCTCTCTCTCCCTCGATTCCTCTCCCCTTCTTCTCCGATGTTCCCAGGCGAAAGTTTCTTAGTCAAATCTGAGCTTTAATCAACGTAAGAAAGGACAGGATCCGATTAGACAGCCTTTCTCCACCGGCGGCGATGAAGCTCATCCCCAGGCAATTTCGTATAATCAGAGTACAGAGGCTAGAGAAAATGGGATGGGGATAAGCTTGTTTCGTAGGTTATCAGAAGCTCATCCCCAGGCAATTTCAATGTTACAAAACCAGGTTAGCCTTATCCACTGGGATCGGCTTATGTTAGTATGCGTTGTTATTGGGCATATACTTAGTATTTTTAATGTGCAGTACCGGTGTGATTGTTAGCTTGCTTGTTTGTTGTTCTTCTTCAACTCCTCAATCAGCATATGCAGACGCTTCAAGGGGTAAAGATGGTGATAGCAGCAATGGGAAGAGAGTCTACAAAGATTACTCTGTCATTGGTAAGTGTGTGTGATTAGTATCAGCTTTGTTCACTTTTATCTTTATTTTTGTTTAATTGGGTAATGGTAATGGTTTTGTAGGTATACCTGGAGATGGTAGATGTTTGTTTCGTTCAGTGGCTCATGGGTTTTGCCTACGCTCTGGTAAAGTGGCTCCAAGCGAGAAGGTGCAGAGAGAACTCGCTGATGAGTTACGTGCAAGAGTAAGTTAATCTGGTTGAGAGTTTCTATTTCTCATATGTGTTTGAATGGTACTTTCTCTATGATTCAACAAAACTCAAGTCTTTATGTTTAGATTAATCATATGATATTTACATTCATGACTTATCTTGAATGTGGTGATAGGTTGCTGATGAATTTATCAATAGAAGACAAGAAACAGAATGGTTAGTCTTCAGCCATTGTTCATTTACTGGTCACTATTGGAGTTACTGAGATCATAACATCTTATTTTTGGTAACTCAGTTATAAACTATTAGATTTTCTATGCTTATAGTAATTTTGATGTTCCTCATCAGGTTTGTAGAAGGAGATTTTGACACATACGTCAAGCAAATCCGGAAGCCACATGTGTGGGAGGTGAACCTGAACTCTTTATGGCTTCACACGTCCTCGAGTAACTTTCTCTCTTCTTTCTTTCATGTGCATGTTTTTGCCTCTTATAAGCATTCTTGATTAAAAACTAACAAACAAAAAAGATGGGGTTTTGATGGCTTCCGACATGGGAGGTTTGTTTCCTTTCCTTAGTTTCTACTTGTTGTTGCGTATCACTGTGTTATTGGGTTATTCGTACTTATAATTTCTTCCTTGTTTTGGTAAAGCAACTGAGTTTATGCTTCTTAGTTTGTCAGAAGTGCTTAATCGCTTGCAGTGTTTTTTTTTGTTTTTGCCTCTTCTTTGTGTTTATTTTGATAAGAGCTATTTCTTTTGGGTGAACTAGATCATGTGTTCCAGCTTTGTAGTGATTGGCTTGGATTCTTAGTGGAGTTGATAAGCTTTTAATTGACAGTAATTTGTTTTCTTAGTAACTAGTCTCCCTATAATGCTCCTTGTGTATACATTAATGGACTGT